GCAGCCGCCATTTTCGTGGCAGTGAACAATTGCAACCCTCTCTGCCTAGAAGCTTGGCCTTTCATCTCCAGAACTCTTCTGCCATCTTCCCAGACCCTATAAAGTGCATTTTTCAATGAAACTACCACAGGTGAAAAGGTATAACCTATTTCTGTGCTAACAATCACAGATCCAGTAATGCTGGCTACCCTTGTGGACATCACTGACTTACCAGAAAGCATTGCTTCTAATAAAGTATGATCCAATCCCTGTGCTCGAAGAGTTGGGTTTACAAAAATATCTATTGCATTATAGAAGCTCGCCAGCTGAGCTTGTTCCAATGGTCCCAAAACTAGTGTATTGGTCCCAAGATCTCTGTATCTATCACCCCAAGGACCATCTCCAGCAATCAGAACAATGGTGTTCTCACGAAACGTACCATTTTCCACAAGCATCTGCTTCAGAGCTTCAAACATTAAGGGGTGTCCTTTATCCTTCACTAACCTCCCTGCCATGCCTAAAACCAAAGATCTACTCTTTGCAACCCCAAATTTCTGCTTAAATGCCTCACCTTTAGCAGGATCTGGCTTGAAAATCTCTTCATCCACACCATTGAGAATAACATGAACTCGTTCTTCTGGGATCATATAAATCCTTCTCAGTATATCTCCAGCATGATCACTAGTAGCGACATGGTGGGCATAGTGTGGAAAAAACCTGACCTCCTCAACAACCTTGGTAATTCTTTCAGTCAACGCATATGCTTGTTGTTCATCAGGATTCCGAAGAAGTTCTTGAATGATGTCAGTATGAATGGTTTCATATGCAATCCCATGCCAAGTAACCGCTAAGTTGGTGAGGTTCCGTGACCGAGTATGCAACAGCCCAACACTTTCAGTGTGGACTATGTCAAAGGCTTTCCCAGTTGAGTTTTGAGTTTGAAATTGCTTCCAGACAATAGCTTGGTCCAGATAACCAGCAGCTGTTGGTTTTGAGAGGTGGAAATATAAGTTGCTCATCGGATACCTAGGGAAGGAGGAGTTGGAAGGAGAAGTGGTGAAAATGTGAAGCTCATGCCCTCTTTTGGCAAGAGCAAGATGAAGGGTCAGGGCATGCCGCTCAAGTCCACCTGCAAGAGATCTATGGGGCCATTTCTTGACAAAGAGTGCGATCTTAAGATATTTTGAAGGTAGTTTTGATGGAAATGAAAGATGATTCCATGCCGAAGGGAAAGAAAGGAGATTAATGGGTTGGCTTTCCTTCTGCGATGTCATTTGGTTACTGTAGCGATATGAACTAGAGCATTGAAACCAAAAGAGGAATGAGACAAATGAGAAAGCAGATAGCAGTGCGATGGTGAAACAGAGACAACGAAAACTGAAGATCGTAGCCATGGAAATGTCAAATGTGAGTTTTGATGCTACTGAACCTTTTTTCTTCAAGAAACTAACATAAGTAATAGGCACAGCATTGATTTAAAACATGAAAGCACTTATGAGATGAGGAGCCAAAAGGAAGGATCAATGCAAGCATAACCAAGAAACTAACAAAAAAGCATTTTTTTAGTGTCAAAACCAGTTCTTGAATTGAAAGGCACCTGCACATGGGTTATCAGGAGGAGTACAAGAGATGCAAATCCCAGAACCGATCCATTTTAGAGAATTGTTTATGGGTTATTTCAAAGGAAGAAAAATTTTGGTTAAGCAATCACATCATGGATTCGCTACAGAGATTAAATTAGCCTGCATTGATTTCCTCAACTCATTACTATATTGCAACAAAACAAATTTCACGCCATTGTCACTGCCAACTCCCTGAAACATGGCAACTTCATGCAAGCGACAGCAAGAAGCATTCCCAATACAAAATAAAATTAAAAACTGTGAAATCCAACAATACAATGTACCTAAACCATTAAATCACATCTAATAGCAGAACTGAGGACGGTACAATACTGCTTGTCGATCGTAGAAAGTCAAGTCACTGTTTTCAGGTTAAACCAAAGACAGTTTCTTAGGAAACGTCATATTAGGAGCGCTTAAGTGTGACAAATTGCAAATTTTATATCTTTCTACCCCACCAAGTCCAAGTGAAGTATGAATGGATTAAGATACACGATCCATCAACAAAAGTAAGCATCTTTCACTCAATTTTTTTAATCAAAGATTCTCAATTTTTATTTACTAGTTCAGTTTCCAAGAGACCAATATAGGTCCATCTCACAAATTTTACATGTATTGCAAACAATTCATTGACAGCAAGATCAAAGAAAACAATATATATTCACATAGTAGCTAGCTAATTAATTCTTCAAATCTCCCTAAGCTAGCGAGTAAACGCATAAAGCATAAGAAAAACATATATTACCAAAGCCGAAGGGACCAAAATAACCAGAGGAGTAACCGCAGCAAATGTATGCAAACTCCCACAGCCCAGAACACCCAACTTTATTTGCACCAAGTCCACCAAAGCCATCATCAAGAACCCGCATCCAAAAACCGACCCAAACCCAGAAACCAAAGTCCCAGCCTGTAAAGCCACCAAGTTAACATGAGCCAGGGGGGCACTACGCACCACCCCATCAGAATCATCATCTTTGTTTGAATAAAAAATCTTGATGGTTTGCTTGACAGCCAAAGCAATGAGACTGGAGAAGAGAAAGGAGCTGAAAGAATAGACGTGGAATGCGATGAGATCCTCGACGATGGAAGAAGAGGCGATGCAGGAAGTATCAGTGATAAGGGTGGTTGTGGGGTCAGGTGCCGTAGGGTACCATGCAAGACCAAGAAAGAGTGCTAAGGTGAATAAAGAATTTACATTGACGATACCATCTAAGGCCATTATGTGGATTTTGGTAGTTGTAATTGTATGATTGTTACGTGACATTTGCGGTGAGGACGGAGGAATAGTGGCGGTGGTGGACCTGCTGGTGGTGTTGGAGGAGGAAATACAATGCAAAGAGCATGTATTTGTGCATATAGAAGGATCGTTGAAGATAGGAAGTTAGGGATATCGTATAATGTTGCCTTGTTCGTGATAGCGTGTCTTTTCCGGCAAGGCAAGGGAATGATCGAACCGTGAAGATTTTGGAGTGTTGAGTGAAGAAACCAAAAGGCCAAAGGACGCTTTCGTCGTTAAGACACCGTTAAGACACAGTTGTACTTTCACTGTGTGGTTGATGATGCTTCAGTGCCTTTTCAACGACATGCCGTTCAGTCAGTGTATCCATTTTTTTTTTTCCAATAAGGGGTGAGAAAAAAACCGAAAAACTGATTAACCCGAGAAAACCAGAAAAAAAATCACTGAAAAAACTGAACGAAAAAAAAACCAATTAAAATTTTGAAAAAACCGGCCGGTTCGGTTCGGTTTCGGTTTTATAACCGAAAAACCGAACCGAAACCGAAAAAAACCAAGAAAACAGAGAAAAACCAAGCCAAAACCGAGAAAAACCGAGCCGAACCGATCCAAACCGGGAAAACCAAGTCAAACTGGTTTGAACCGGGT